TTGAGTTCTTCTGTAGTTTATTGTTGACTATCGCATATACTCCTCCTTATCAATTATGATGAAGGCTAAATCAAGATCCCTCTGCTGGAGATAGCAGAAATGATGCTCGATGGGGCGACTTTTAAGCTAGTCTTGAATAAATCCACAATGTTTTGAGGCATTTTGTAACATCAAACTGAGATTTTTCTTATTAAAATTTCAATAATTTTAACACATTCAATATTATGGATAAAAAAGTGAATTTATATATATTGTTTTTTCGAGACTTAGCATGTATGAAACAAATTCACGGATTTAGCAAGAAAAAAAAAAAAACAAAACAAAAACAGGACCAACCCAGAATAACATCAAAATCTGAAAATCTTTCATCCTTTAATACCAGTAGTCAGTTGTGTTTAGTTTAATTTGTAACGTATATAAATGTATTTAGAGAAAAGAAAATATTGGTAAGATAGCAAGAGTCACAAAACGTTACGCGGGGCCCACAATCAAGTTTGCCCCACCCCCTGCTCCGGTCGTGTAGGTGTCGGGAGTAGTACGCACCGGCCCTGCTCAAAACAATTTTTTCTGTGAAGAGCCCAAAGATAGAAACACGGCAGAAAGATGATGAAGAAATAATTCACTTGGTATTTACACGTCCCCCTCTCATGGTGACGGGATATGGCACAAGGCCAGTTTAAAGTGGGGAGCCCATGTGCGTGCACATGGAGAACGTCCAAAAATTGCCCAGTCCCAACAGCAACCAACATCGCGCTGGCGTCGACATTCCATTACCCCCCCCTTCTTTGGTGCAATGAGGCAGGTGCTCCCGCAGGGTTGGAATCCCCGGTACCAGACCTCCTTCATTTATTTGTTGTGTTCTGTCCGACGATAGAAACACAATTGCTCGAAGGCAAACACTCCACTTTGATCCCAGCAAGAAAGTTGAGTAAAGTAGCGCTGACCTAACCATCGGATAAAAAATTTCTGATCGAACAGCATGGTAAAATGCAGTTCAGATCTTGACGGAGAGTTCCCAAAAGTGAGTTCTCTCCTCTACATCGACACACATTTATTTAAAAAAGCTTCCCAGATTAGTTTCCTTTCATACGTACTAAATTGGTCACTTTTACTCATCTATCTCTGAAGTCCGACTGGGTCAGCCTTTGCTTGTCGCATTACACCTTCATCTTCGGCTGTTGCTGATGCTTGAAATGTGCAATCAGGTCATCGCGAGACAGCGGAGATCCATATAACATCACGTTTTGCCTAGTGTTCCACATGATCATTCTTGCTATTGCTGTTAGTGTGAGAAACATCATACATTTTGACCTCTCCCACGAAAAGGCTACATTGTCGCCAACGAAGAAGACACCTAGGGCAACGAAGTTTTCTAGCTCCATTCGAGTGACTAACTCACCCACAAAATCCTATTACGGGTAAAATTAAGGGCATTGATAAAAGGCATGTTCATCCATCTCTCCGAGGTCACCATAAATTCAGGCAATTCCACTACGACGATCGTGAATTTAATATCCTTCACTAGCAGAGCTTTCAGAGACACATATCAGGCGAGTCAGTTGGTGACGAAACCTCTAACAGACCAAGACACTTGTAGAGTAGATCACAATCGGTCTCTTTTTTATGGTTTATTAGAGTACCTTCCTGAGTTCAAAAGATATTGGACATCGCTGGTCGGTACACGTGGAAAATCTGATACTCACAGGGCAGATTGAAGGCAAGAGGGTTGGAGGAAAACTATGCATAGCCTCTAGCGAGCTTGAGTAAATGAATGGTGGAACAAGGTTTAAAAGACAAAATTTATTAAGTATCTGTCTATATTTCTGAGATGAGGCATTATGTACACTATTTACATTATTCGGACTATTGTCCTCATCTTTGTTGCCATATTTATCACAAAGTTTCGGCCGTTGTACACTCCGGCCTTCTTCAAGTGGTTGAAGTGAACCCTTTATTTCGCTCGCTAGAGTAGACTGTTCTAGTTCCACGTACCATGTCTAATGGATGTCAGTTATCAGTTATCTCCTGTTTATTCACCTCTCCAAGCTCTCCACTGCCTTAACCAAGTATTGAACTCACAACACTTTGGGTCCTGTCACTGGATCTAACCAACGTCTTTACCCACTGTGCCATGTGTCCTTAAGAGCTGCAAAGGATAGTAAATCGTGAGGAGTCATGATCGCCAACATCCTGAAGGTACACGGAACACAGAAGAATAAGAATGATGGGACAGCTGCCATTTTTTATTTTAATTTTCACAGTCAAAAATAGCGTCTTCCGCATAATGTAAGCAGATAGATAAAAACATTGTGAATATAGGAAACAATATTGCATTGTGACTGTCAGTTTTCCAGCCTTATGCCAAAAGCGATTATAACATATGGTTACTTAAGGTTACCATATCAATGTACACATAATTTATATCTATAAATGTTCTTGAATATTCTTTGTGCCTAAATATATCAAATTTTAAATATGATTACACACACACGCATACCGATAGAAACTGGGAACATGGAAATCATCACTCTATGCCATGGTGACTAGCAGTTTTCATACCTTAAGCCTAAAGGGATCATAAGATATGGTCCGGTGATTACTTAAGGCGTGAAACATCCGATCACCAGCTGGCTTTGTCCAATAAAATGTTGTAAGTTACACCAAATATTTTGAAATCGAAATAGCTACGCACAAATGCATAAATTCTTTTATATAGCCTTATCTTACCTTTGATCCGGCTAGAGGAAGACTTGAGTGTGTAGGCACGTCATCCAGGTAATAACCGCTGGAACATCCCGGAAGGTAAGGTAGTATGCATTTGATATGGGTAGAGTTGATTTCAGTGCCTTTCCAACATGTTTTACATCCTCCTTTACCTACTATGGCTGATGGACCTGTGCATCTGAAGGGAGAAATATATATATATATATATAATCTCAAAACAATATTTTCAGGTAAATTTTTTCAAGATATTTAGGTCTATATTCTTGTTTGTATCGATCAATATTTCTTTTCTCTACTTCTGCAAAGTAATACTTGTATTGATTCCTAAAACAATGTGGCGGTGACATACTTCTCTTGAAAGTGTAAGGTTTGTGGTTAAAAGCATTTAAAGCTACCCGCAAACGAAAAAATGTTAGAAAATATGAGTGAACATTTAAAAACAAACAAGTATCCAGCCATTGTCAACAAAAGTTTAAATTAAACTTTGAACATTATTGAACAGAATTAACCAAGAGTTTAGGAAATAACAAAACTATCTTTTAATCATCATAGAGAACCATTTTGTCTTACTTCAGCATGGTTGATGCTAACCTCCAAGAGAACAACTCGTTGCACCTTCTTAGTTTATAGGTTTTCCACTAACATAAAGTGTAGGGATTATATTGAATCAACTGCTTGGTCTGCTGATAGGAAAGTTGGTTCATTGTATCGTATCAAGTATCTTTCTCGTCACAATCCATCATTCACCTTTATAAATCTACTATTCGTTCGAGCATTGCGATATTGCTACCAAATCTTGCCTGGAACTCCTATAGTATAAATCGAAATTCTTGACAAAACTCAAAGAAGGGACTATAATATTATCGATTCTGACCTGGTATCTCTTCAGTCGTTTCCTACCGCCGTGACGTGGCTTCCCTCTGTCTTTTCGATAAATATATTCATTGTTCTAGTTCTCCTCCTTGATATGTCAACCGCATAAATTTAAACATACTACTAGATTGGCAACTAGGTCCCAACATTTTACTGTATACATAGTTAGACATTATTAGGAGGGTTTGAGATAAAATCCGTTTCGTTCATTTGGGACTCATCAGCAGTGCGAATCCACTATCGAGAACTGAAACCCGATCAGTTACGATATCTGGCAAACGCCATACCAACTGTACCAACAGGCCTCGGCGACGAAGAGGTAACGAATTAGACTCGATATAGCGCAGCTCGATCCCATATTCCGTGGTGGAACTCATCCGGGTTTCCCTTACCCATAGGACTGTGCCCCCACCAGCCACGACTACTATCCCCAAGCCGCTCCATCCAGAGCATTAGAAGCCGGTTCAAGCAAGGATATACAAGTGATAGAAATTATTTTGGAGGATTTGAGATAATCATAATTAAGTAATTCAGTTTTCAACTCGGTAAATAGTTAAATATAACGGTAAGTTCTTTTCTAATATTTTATTTTGTCGCAATTCTCGCCTGTGGAACGCTCTACCAGTTTCCCTGCCATCTACGACTTTCAAAGTTTTAAATGCAACGTCAGTCGATATCTTCTCTCTTCCTGATCACTAGTCTTCTTATTCTCTTTCACTTTCAGTAACTTATGGCGTCTTAGTGGCATTATCGCCTTGCTTTGGGTGAAATGATAAAAAATGTTTATAAAGGAAAATACCGATAATGACTTATAAGAAAATATGCTAGATTTATTTTCACTAAGATAGTTTGTCTGTGTTTCCTATCTTCTATTTCCTACGAGCGAAAGACAGGTTGTATTTTTAAGTTATTTTTCTTTTGTTTGAAAGATAGCCACTCTGAGGCAGATTTACATAAGACGTTTTGTACCATTTTGTTCTTATGGGCTTATAAATAAATGTTATGATTAAATTCTAAATAGGCTGACATTATTTATATTCAGAGTTCAGGCGGAGAGAAATAAACATTCAAGAAATCTGATACTGTCATTTCTAGAAAAAAAAAAAACAATGAAGTATGTCTAGACTATTCTAACATCGCAGTCGCAACATACGTTTTTTTCCCGGCTAGCAAAATATATTAAGTGCACAATTTGGTAACGTACGGGAATATTACGTAAACACGTTACTGTGTATAATGTATGATTTGATGTTGTTATTTCCCCTCCATTTTCGATACATTTCTCTCTTTTAAAGCTTAATGATTAAAAATCAAACATATGATTGAACATTGCTTCTTTGTTTATATTATTCATAATTACTCAGATGTTTAAATTTTAGTGTGAGGGCGTCGATGACAAGAATATGCTGGGCTTCGTGATTCAGCTACGGCGCTATAAGTGTGCTGCGGGGGATTCAGTCTCCATCTTTTGCTGGAATGGAGAACTAAACAGAAGACTACATTTACCTTCTTGGTCTCAATCTATGACACTGCTATTAAGCTGGGCTGTGCCATTTTTCTAAAATCATTACTGCCATTACTTTTAAAGATAAATCAGGAAATATCATTTTCTGTTTTTTCTCTACGCGAAATATAAGCTTCTAAAACTTTCATTCCAGAAAATAACTAAAAAGAAAGTATTTAAAATTAAAACCCAAAAGGTTTACAGTAAGATAATAGACGTAAAATATTCATTTTAAGAGAGGATTAAATAAAATAAATATATACAATCATAAATCTGTAAAACTTAACATCTGATTTAGTCACCCCAACAAAAAAATCTTTTTATTTTATGGCACCGATCCTATAATTATTACTTAAATTCCAACTTAGTTGTTCCCACTTATTTTTCTTGAATACACTATTTTTTTTATTCATTTCACTCCAAGCAAAGCGATAATGTTACAAGGACGCCAGGGACTAATGAGAGTGGGAGAGAATGAGAAAATTTTAGTGAGTAGAAAGGACAATAAAAGAACAGGTTTCAGGAAGACAGAAAATGGCAATTGACGTTGCATTTAAAACTTTGAAGATTGTAGGTGGCAACGAAGCAATAAACCGGATGAATTCCATAAGCGAGAAAAGAAATTATTAGAATAGAACATGCCGCTATATGTAGCTATTTATATAGTAAAACGATGAGATCTATTTGCCTATCTGGTTGACGCTTAAATTCATGCGGTCGCGGTATCAAGATGAAAAGCTTATTAGGACAATTGCAATGAAAATATTTATAGAAAAGATACAGGGAAACCACGTAATAGCGATGTAAAAATATCTGAAGAGATACCAGGTCATTACCTTCTTTGGATTATGTCGAGAATTTCAAGATATATAGGAGGAGCACCAGACCAGATATAGCAGCAATATTTAATGCACGGACGAATGGTAGATTTATAAATTTGCAAGAAGAATTCTGGCGAAAAAAATTGTCCAGCAAAACATAGCGAACCAATTTTGCTAGCAGCAGATCTAGCAATTGATTCAATATAATCGTTCCTCTTCATGACAGTAAAAAACATGAGACCAAGAAGGCGCAACAATTTGGTCTCCTGGAGGTTGGCATCAACCATGCTGATGGAAAGCAAAAAAAAAAAAAGCAAAAAAAAAGAAGTTATCTAAGACGACTAATAAGAGTAGTTTCATTTTCGAGGCGTTAAAATTCATAAGTCATGTCTTACCCCAGTTAATGTCAGATTTAGAGTCATTTTCGAGATCAACTGTCAATTTTACTTTATCGAACCTATTGGACTTACTATTGTGTCATTAGCAGAGATACCGAGTCGAAAACTGGTAGCATCGGGAAGGTCGTTGGTGAAGATGAGAAACAAGTAGGTCCAAGGATAAAACCCTGAAGGAGAACTGCATTAATGTGAATGAATCTAGAAGAGTGGCCGTTCAAGATAAGCTTCATTACACAATTTGTGAAGAAAGAGTGAATGAAATAAAAAAATCCGGAAGAAAGAGTGAATGAAATAAAAAAATCCGGAAGTAGGTATCATAACCAATCAGCCTGTGAAGAAGAACAGCATGCAAATCCTTGTCAAACGCCTTCGAGATGTTTAAAGCCATAGCCCGAGCTTTGCCGTTCTTATCTAAAGCTTGGCAGACACTTTCGGCAATAACCGTTAACACACCAGCGGTTGACCTCGAGAAGCGAAAACCCGTATTGTTTGTTTGAAAGAAGACCGTGCGAAGTGAGATGCTTAACCAATTGGCAGTTGATTAGAGTCTCTAGTACCTCGCCAAAATAGACTAATAGGTTAATTATTTGAATGATCGGACGGTTCACCCCAGTTCTTAAAAACAGGGGCTACAAAATAGGATTTTAAGAAGCTGTAAAGCAAGAAGCAGCGAGGTATTGGTTGTAGAGTTTAGAGAGAACAGGAGCCAGTTTAGGATCACATTACTTTAGGAGAGGGATATCATCGTCCGCATGCCTTGTGTCCATCTAGTTTGGGGATAGTGGAAACCATTGAGGGAGTTATATGCATATTACACAGTAGAGACTCGATTCTTTGTGAAAAATTAGATAGATACTCCTGATGAATCGAGAATAGAATTGGAAAAGAATTTACGAGCAAAGCATTCTGTTTTATTAGCAGTAGATGACAACATTTCAAACGGATTGAAAAGATGAGAGATTGGGGATTTACTCAGTCTTACAGAACCTCTAGCAAGCATGAGAATCAAATTTGTGAGAAGCTATATAGAGTTTCAGTTTATCGGCAAACAGCGTCTTAGCCTCACTGAAGACATAATTACAATTATTACAAGCGAATGCAAAGATGAGTTTGTTGTGACCCGAACTTTCACGTTGGTATAGCTGGAAGAAGTGATTCTTATGGACTATAGCGACTCAAG